CATGGATTGGAAGAATTAACATCATTAAAATGTCCATAATACCCAAAGCAATCTATAGATTAATGCAATCCCCATCAAAATACCAATGACATACTTCACAGAACTAGAACAAATACTTCAAAAGTTCCTATGGAACCAAAAAAGACCTCGAATAGCCACAGCATTCTTGAAAAAGAAGAACAAAGTTGGGGAGATCACATTACCAGATTTCAGGTTATACAAAACCACTGTAATCAAAACAGCCTGGTACTGGCACAAGAACAGGCATAGAGACCAGTGGAACAGAACAGAGAACCCAGAAATGGACCCAAGGCAATACGCTCAATTAATATTTGACAAAGGTGTCAAGAGCATACAGTGGAGTAAAGACAGCCTTTTTAATAAATGGTGTTGGGAAAATTGGACAGCTACATGCAAAAAGATGAAACTAGACCATCAACTTACACCATACACAAGAATAAACTCAAAATGGATAAAAGACTTAAATGTGACTCATAAATCCATAAAAATCCTAGAAGAAAATGTAGGCAACAAAATTTCAGACATCATACGCAGCAGAATTTTCACTGATAACATCACCTAAGGCAACAGAAACAAAGGAGAAAATGAACACATGGGACTACATCAAACTCAAAAGCTTCTGCACAGCAAAAGATACAATCATCAAAATGGAAAGGCAACCCACTGTATGAGAGAGCATAATTGCCAGTATATCAGATATTGGGTTAATTTCCAATATATATAGCCCTGGCCGATTTGGCTCAGTGGTTGGAGCATTGGCCTGCGGACCAGAGAGTCCCGGGTTTGGTTCCTGCTAGGAGCACATACAAAAAAAAAAGAAAGAAAGAAATTAACAAATTTTCAATATATATAGAGCTCATACAGCTCAACAAAAGGAAGACAAAGAACCCAATTAAAAAATGGGCAGAGGAACTAAATAGACACCTCTCCAAACAGGACATACAAATGGCTAAGAGACATATGAAGAAATGCTCAACATCACTAATTATCAGAGAGATGCAAATTAAAATGACTATGAGGTATCACCTCACACCTGTCAGAATGGCTGCCATCAACAAATCATCAGGTATTGGCGAGGGTGTGGAGAAAAGGGGACTCTAGTGCACTGCTGGTGGGAATGCAGACTGGCGCTGCCACTATGGAAAACAATATGGTATTACCTCAAAAAATTCAAAATTGAACTGCCATTTGACCCAGTGATCCCACTTCTAGGAATATACCCTTAGAAGCCTGAAACGCCCATCAGAAAGAATATATGTCGTAGCAGCACTATTTACAATAGCTAAGATCTGGAAACAGCCCAAATGTCCATCAGTAGACGAATGGATAAAAAAGCCGTGGTACATATACACAATGGAATACTATGCAGCTGTAAGAAAGAAAGATCTCTTGTCCTTTGAGACGACATGGAGGGACCTGGAAAGTGTCATCCTAAGCAAAACAAGCCAAACAGAGAAAGACAAGTATCATATGATCTCACTTATTTGTGGAATACAATGAACATTACAGTCTGAGGAAAGGGGTAGTCCCAGAGATGTGGAAGTGGGGTACAGACTGACAATCCCCAGAAGAGGGGGTGGTGGGGGAGAGATAAACCACAGAACTTATATGCATGTATGTGTGAACAATGGACATGGACAACAAAGCTGGGGACAGGGTGGGGAGGGAGGGGGGAGGAATCAGTGGGGGGAAAGGAGAAACATCTGTAACAAAAATAAATTAATTAATTAAATAAAAAAAGAAGAAGCACAGAGTTCCAAACAAGATGAACCCAGAGAGACCCACAATTAACGTTATAAAGAGACATTCTTGAAGGAAGCATGAGGAAAACGAGTTACATACAAAGGAAAACTACAAGACTGTCATCTGATTTCTCATCAGCAACTTTACAGGCCAGAAGGGAGTGGTTGGGCCTCTTTAAAGAATTCTTCATTTTGTTGAATAGACGCTGCTAACTTCTCTCTTGGGACAAACTCCAGAAGAGCCAGGTGTGATATATTGAAGAACCCCAGCTGCTCCAGGGCTGTTACTGGAAACTAAAGTCTGTTTCCCGACACTTGGGCCACACTCTGCAAAAGCCTGTGGCAAGTCTCTCTGCCTCGGGGTCATCTTGCCAAGATGGAAGAGAGCCCAGGACCAGGCAGACTGGGTCAATAATTGGAAAAGGAGAACTACAGCACAGAATCTATGAGCAGCCACTGTTTTCATCCAACAATAAAATTCTCGTTCTATTTTTAAAAAGAGAGCCCAGCTGGTGTGGCTCAGTGGTTGAACATCAACCCATGCACCAGGATGTCGCTGGTTCGATTCCCAGTCAAGGCACATGCCCAGGTTGTGGCCTGATCCCCAGTGGGGGGCATGCAGGAGGCGGCCAGTCAATGTTCTCTCTCATCGATGTTTCTATCTCTCTCTCCCTCTCTCTACTTCTCTTTCTAAAATCAATAAAGAAAAAATTTTTTAAAAGAGTGTACAAAGTATTGAGGACGCTTGCAACCTAGAATAATTTACCCAACAAGGAATTAAAGTAGAGATAGTTTCCCAGACAAGCAAAAACTGAAGGACTTCATTATCACCATTAAACCAGCTTTACAAGAAATGTTAAAGTGTCTTCTCTAAGTAGAAAAGGAAATTTAAAAATATGAGAAAAGGAAAACACCCTCACAAATTCAACAAGTACAGCAAACCACACATTTAAAAAGCTACTACAAAAGTTAAAAGAAAGACGTTTCAAACTCAGCTCAAACGACAATAAGTCGTTAGGAGATACACAATACAAAGAGATCTAAAATATGATATCAGTAACATAGAGCATGTATGGGAAGTATAAAAATGTAGTCCTTAGAGAAGATATTGAAACGTAAATGTCAATCTGCTTAAAACAGAGTGCTATAGCCCTGGCTGGTTTGGCTCAGCGGTTGGAGCATCGGCCTGTGGACCAGAGAGTCCCGGGTTCGGTTCCCACTAGGGGCACGTACCAAAAAACAAAACAAGACAAAACAAAACAAAACAAAACAAAAAACCAGAGTGCTATAAAGAATGATATACATAAACCTCATGGTAACCACAAGCCAAAAACCTACAAGAGAAACACAAAGAGAAAGGAACCTAAACAAAACACTGAAGAAAAACAGCAAACCACATGGGAAGAGGTCAAGAGGAAAGCACAGAGTTCAACTGTAAAAACAACGTAAAACTAAGAAGGAGCCCCGTGGACAACTTTAGAAGGCAGATCACAGGAGCAGCTCCTTGGGAGAGGAAGGCAGACCTCACCCACCAGCTTCTCCGTAATGTCCAAGGAACCACATGAGAATGAAAGCCAATGAGCTTTTCATTCTGGAGCTTACTCATCGGCACATTAGCACAGCCTGAACTTACCCCGTTCCCACTCCTAGAAAGCTTAAGCCAAGCCAGGTAGGAGGCAGTCATTGGCCAGCAGTTTCTGACACAACTGGTTCTCTATTCTTCGGAAAATAGAGAAGATTCCCCCAAACCAATGAGGGTTCAATGTTTACCAACCAAAAAGGCAGCCTTAGATGGGCCTAAGACTGTATATGGAATAACAGGTTGTCCCCCTTCACCCACAAGGGCCATTTCATTGCTAAGCTTTTTTCTAAACCAACTCCCACTAGGCCCTACCTACTCCTCCCCCAGCCTGTGCCCTCAACCCTGATCACCCCAAAAAGCCTCCATCTCAAAAACATCCAAACCGATGCACGTGTGGTTCACGCCAAAGGGTTTTTTGTTGCTTTGTTTTTGTTTGTTTGTTTGATTGATGAGCCTACAGTGTTGAAGCTCCAAAATCGGAAGGTCATGCTCTGCTGCTTCTGCCAGGCTGGCGGTGAACGCCTGGAAGCCGGGGCCAGTCTTCCCTGCAGCTCACCCTGCAGCACCTGTGGACAAGGCAGGCGTGAAGGGCAGTTCCGTTCAAAGGTGCGCAGGGCACGCCGCTGCAGCCCCCCTTAGTCACCAGTCTGGCCCGCGATGACACTGTGGCGGGGAGAGAGAAAGCAGGCCTATCCCTCTGGCAAACAGGACAGAGAAAGGGAAAAGGAAAGTCGACAGGGGAAGTGGAATCAGGGAGGAGCAGGCACGCCGTGTGCATTCCTGTGCATTCCACACAGTGAGCGATGTTCTCGATGTTCTCGCACTGGTCTCCCCGAGGTCTGCCCTCTTTCCCGCGGAGGCCAATGGGCCGTCCTTACAGTCGGGGGCTGCAAAGCACCATGCCCAGGGGGCCTCAGGCAGCGGGGGAGCCCCTGCCGCTCTGGCAGCCCCTTCTCAGGAAACTGGAGAATCTGTAAAAGGGGTGAGCTGGGAAAGGCGAGAGTTTTCATCCAAAGCAATGGTGTGGACAATTAACAGGCAAATACACAAACCCTGCAGAGAGCCAGAAAAGAAAAAAGGAGATTTGAAAACAAAAAAAAGTACAAAACCCCTTTCCAGAGAGAACAGGGTCCCAGAGCCCCCAAAGGCACTAACGGTGGACTTGAGCAGAAGCATCCACCCTGGGGAAACAGTGAAACGGGAGCCTCCATCAACCTGAGAAGTCACCCCAAGTCCCTGCTTCCAAAGCCACCCAAACCCCTGCCCCACACCCGTGGTACCTCCTGAGTTCAGTGATCGCTAGTCCAGCCTGGCCGACGCCAAGTTCAAATACAGTGCCTGACAGTGCTTTTTCAGCCAACCTAATCGTCATTCATTTAAATTACCACGGTGATATCTTTTTTTTTTTTTTTTTATCCTCACCCGAGGATATTTTTCCATTTTTTGTACAGATAGAGTGGGAGGGAGAGAGAGAGAGAAACATCGACGTGAAAGGGACACATCAAGTGGCTGCCACCCGCACGACCAACCAGGGCCGGGGCCAAACTGCAACCAAAGTACGTGCCCTTAGCGGGAACCGAACCTGGGTCTCTCCGGACCGCAGGCCGACGCTCTAACCGCTGAGCCAAACTGGCCAGGGCCCACGGTGATATCTTAAAATTAGATTTCTAAGGCCGACAACGTAAGAACCGTGACAGGGCAGAGAAACAGACAAAGATGTATGTTCACCAAAGGCTGCCTAGTACCTCCTCTTCCCTTCAGAGAAGGTGAAATTGTGTTATATGTACACGCACACACATGTTTTTTTTCCTGACATTCAAGACTCGTTGTGAACTAGCCAGGCCTAATTCTTTGAACCCTTAAAAAAAAGAAACAAACAAACAAAGAAAGGAGCCACAGTCGTGTATACTTCTGCTATGGGCTGACCAGCTCCAAGCACTTTCACTTTGAACTAGCACACAGCCATTCCCAACAGAAGGCCAGAACTGGACCAAGCCCAAAAAACTACCAAAGAGCTAGACGTGTAACATGTCAAACATCCAGGAGAGCAGGTCAGAAATCCTAAATACACAGATGGGCATCCTGCAGGCTTTCTGAGGTTCTTGATCACTTCTGATTTCTTTTACTTTTGTCAACAGTTGCTTTCAAATTAATATTTTTTAAGTCAACATGTGTGTACCCTTTACCCCTTAGCAAGGCAAAAGCCCTCGTGAGGAGGAACAAGGGGTAACATTTTAAAGGGGCGTCCAGAGGGTGGTCGAGGTGATTCTCCTGTGGTGACATTCTGAGCAGACGTTCGACACACACAGATGTGCCAGAGTTTCATAAATAATGTTTGTTTTGGTTTCAACGCCTCGGACCAGATGGCTTCCAGATCGTCCACACCCAGGCTGCAGCTGACCGATTTTCCACAGGATGCAAAACACTGGAAAACAGGTTTTACCTAAAAGAAAAGGAAGAAGAAGTCAGGGCCTTCCTGCAGAGCCCCAGGCCCATTCTGAACCCTCCCTAACAGTCTCCATTCTGTGGGTCACACTCTCCAACCACAGGACCTTTGAACGTGATGCTGTCTGCAAGGTGAGCTCCACTCCCCCAGGTAAGTCCTTCCCGTCCCTCCGCATCCTTTCTTAGTTCCCCACACAGACCCCCTAGCCCTCAACCTCTTCCTCCTCGCATCACTCCTTCCTAGCACTTCTACGGGTGTTTACGCCAAGGCTTAACAAAAGATGCGAAAGTCCGCAAAGTGAGCACTTTTTTATGGATAATTTTTATTTTTTAATTTATCTTCATTGTTGAAAGTATTGCAGATGTCCCTCCTTTTCAAAGTAAGTTTTTTTTTTCATTGATTTTTTTTTTAATTTATTTTTAGTGAGAGAGGAAGGGAGAGGGAGAGAGATAGAAACATCAATGAGAACATTGATTGCCTGCCTCCTGTATGCCCCCCACCAAGGATCAGGCCCACAACCTGGGCATGTGCCCTGACCAAGAATCAAACTGGTGACCTCTTGGTGCATACCCCAGGGATGCTCTGCCAGGTCCCCTGCCTGCGCCCCATCCTTCTGTGCCGATAGGAGTAAATGCCCACACGTAAACACACACAGGGTGGGGAGAGACGGGCAGACGGTGGGAGCCCTCCACAATTCATCCAGCACGTCACTGATCCTGGGGTTCCTTCCTCAGCAGAACTAACCCTCCAGGGCTGCTACTGAAAAAGAGAACATGACAATCTTCCTCACACCTGCGTGAGGAGCCGTCGCTCTGGGCACCTACGAATGCCCACGGAGGTCACTGGCTCTTTGGGGCTCTCCACACGGATGTGACCCCATCCCAAGCCTGAGCGGGGAAGCTGGCTGCCCTTCAGACCCTCTGGTGCAGCTGTGAGTCGGGACGTTCCTGGGACTGTGGACACAGGCTCTATGTGAGGAGACAGAGTCCCAGGTCTCTTCATTGCATCTGTCTCCCCGAAGAAGGTCCTGGGGGGCAGAGGCGCCCAGCTGCAGCTAGCCTGTTGACCCCTACACTCATTCAAATCCACTTCCTCCTGCAATGCCCTCTCTCCTCCTGCCCCTAAACCCCTTTTGAGCTTATTTCCTGGGCCTCTCTGCACCTCCTCTGGTAAGAGCTCCCGGCCTGGGAGAGGGGCCCCTCCTGGCTGCCCACAGGGCTCTGCCCTTTCTCCCTGTGGCACTCGCCAGGCCAGCCCCTAAGTGTCAGTACTGCTGCTGTCCCCTGCCACCGCACTGGCGGACAGCTCCCGGGGGACAGGGGCAGGCTCCCCCACCCCGCACTCACAGCGAATGGAATTGGCAGGCGCAGGAGCTGGACCCGTGAAGAGAGTGACAAGCAGAGACTGCTAAGAGAACTCTCTCAGCCCCTGCGTCTGCCCCCAGAACAGCCACACTGCTCAGGACATTTCTGCATCGTCACTAAGGTAAACCAGAAAGAATGGCATTGCTGCCCCCGCCCCTGGCCTCCCCGGAAACTCCGTGGAGAGCTGAAGGCTTGTGCAGATGCTGTGACCCGTGCTTCTTCCTTTCAGATTTCCAACTGCCCTGTACAATGACAAGGGGTTATCACCGTCCCAGAGAAGGACAGGGACGTGTCCCCACCTGTCCTTGTCCTTTGTTCTGTCAGAAGCTTCTCTGTCCGTGGAAAGAGCCCTCAACCTGAAGTCCCAGCACCTGCCCAGCACCCTGGCAGCTGAACTCGTGGTGCAGTGAGCGAGGATGTGGCCGGAAGAGGGCACAGGGACCCTGGGGAATAAACGGCAGAGAAGCTGAGGCAGGAAGTGAGGCTCTGTTCACAGGTGCACCTGAGATGGAGGCGTGAGGACCACCACGCACCACGGGAGCCCTCCACGGTTCCACCGTTTCCACCCAGGACACCAAACGTGGAAAAAATAGAGCTGAAAAATGTGGCTGGCTTCCACAAAAGCATTTCTAGTTAGGGTTATCTGTACTGTTTTGTTTTTCTCTCTCTCTTTTTGACAGATTCTTAGGCAGCACTATAAACTGCATGTGTATGCAGGCAAAAAAAAACTGAGTAAGTCACATTCACTTGGTAGTAAATGTTCATTGCCACGCAAATTTCCTGTTTGCGTAGGCTCGCTCCTTCCAGACATAAAACTCAGAGTTTTAAGATGCACAGTATCGTAGCTGAGAACTGTCCCTGAGTGCCCATACTGCTTTTCAAGGAAACAAAAATGCCTCGGGAGATGCCCACTTTTAACACGTGAGCTCGGCATCCTTCAAGGAAGAGGGCTGGTAGGGCTTTATTCAGACTGGTTTGGGGGTGACCCCTGAGGCTGTTTCAGGCCCAAGTCGGATGCTCCAGCATCTGCCGAGGGCCTGCGGGTCACCAGGTACCCTGATTCCTTCCAGGCCCGGACGCGCACGATACCCATTGCCTCTCCACTGTCCCGAAGCTGATGCTCCAGAGCTTCGTTCCCCGTCCTCAGGTGATGAGGCAGCATGGGGCGGGCACAGGGTCTTTAAGCCCTACCACGCAAGAAGCCCCTGTCCTCAGTGTGCTTAGCAACTGGGACCCTGAGCCCAAGCCTCAGTCTAGTAATGAGCAAATCAAATCTGTTTCCTCCTGCTCCCAGCCTACCCTCCAGGGTCCCCTGGCTGCAATCAGCCCCCAAATGCCCTTCGTTCCAAAGACAAGATGCCAGGCGTGGCCTTTAGCGTTACAACACAAGTCTTATCCGTTTCTAATTCAATTCCCACAGGCAGCTCTATCCACAAAAGGGTGGAAGGCAGGCAATTCTTGAACACACACCTGCACCCCTACAGGTTTTCAAAACCTAAGAGGCAAAGGAACAGGGGCCTCCCTCTCTGGGGAAGGCAGGGCTGGCAGGAGCCGGTACCGGGTCCTCCAAGCACCGCACCTTTGGGCAGCGTGTGTCACACCTGCCGGTCTCACCTACCAGACAAACAGAGGAAGAAAGCATCTGCCTTGCCTTAGGGGACGCCCACAGGGTGTCACAAAAGACTCCTGCAATAAACAGGGATGCCGATAGACCCAAAACAGCAGCCGCAACTCCATGCAAGGCCGACCAAGCTCAAAACACAGGCAACCAGGATGCAATCGCCTTTTGAAATATGGAACCATTTCAAAACCCCAGGGTTCTCTGTATTCCGTTTCACCACCACATCCTCTCTTGTAATTAGCCTTTTAAAGTACAGAGTTGGAATCTCATTTCTACAGGTTTTTCCCTTCCACTTCTGGGCCCTACTTATTCTATCTCGTGGGTGATAATAACAACCCAGGTGATGGCTACAGCCTCGTCCTGCCTGCCTGGTCTCCATTTCCTGCCTGGCTGAGGCGTGCCGGATCCAAGTCACGAGATGTTATCAGAACTACACACGTGTAATAGTAAGAGCCAAGTTACCGCCTGACTTCCCTGGCACCAAAAACATGATTTTCCTCTTTGCACTCACTCAGAACATCACCCAAGGTCACGATCCAGCCATATCCGATGTAAACGTACTGTTTCCCAGAGAAAAAGACAAAGACCTGTGAACGGATTATCACGTGTAGACAAAGAAGTTCTCAAAAACACCAAACCAACATAAAATTGCCCCTAAAATTCTTGTTCTTTTCCAATGTATTGGCCTGAAAAGTTGTTCGTGATATACGGTTCAAGTGAAAAATGTTCCAAAACACTATGTGTTACATGGTCCTATTTCTGCAAAAAAAAAAAAAAGAAAATTCCACATATGTACTCAGACACACTCTAGTGGTTATCATGCAGCAGTGAAATGAGAGGTAATTTTATTTCCTCTTTTTCTGATCTGTGATTTCTATACCATTCACTATACCTATGATAAGGAAAGCGGTCTCTCAGTCTAAACGTTGTCTTTGAGCCTGAGGACTAGAGCAGTCTTAAGCCCAGTGATTCACTCCAAGTTCACTCACATCCTGATAACATGAGCTACTTGAAGTCCAGTTCTCAACAAACAGGGAGGCGCTAGTGGCCAGTGATGATAAGAAAAGCCTGTGGGAGGTGGCTGGATTAGATAAAGTTACAGAACAAACATTCCAGGAAAGAAGGCTAAAAATGAATGAGCTAAATATTCAATAGAAGTTAGAAAAAAAGAACAGAACACACTTAAAGAAAGCTTAAGGAAGAGAAGCAGAAATCAATTGAAAATAGTCATAGAGAGGATCAAAGAAGCCAAAGTTTGTGCTTTGTGTAGATGAATAAAATCAGACTTCCAGCAAGCTGGATCAAGAAAAAGGAGAAAAGGCAAACATAATCAATATTAAGGATAAAAAGGCTCCACGACCACACATGTTACCAGGATTGAAAAGATGAGAATAAGAAAATGTGAACAATTTTAAGACAATACACTTGAAAATGTAGATGAAATGAACACAACCTCAGAAAAATACAACCCATTAAAACTGACTCAAGAAAAAATAAAGACTAAATAGTCCTATAACTCGTCAAAGAATTGAACACCAATAGTTTTTTTTTTTAATCTACAAAACATTCAGGAAACAAATAATTCTAATCTGATGCAAACTATTTCAGAGAACAGGAAAATAAGTCACACATTCCCAACTTGTTTTATGAGGCTAGCCAAACTTTTACCAACGCCTGACAAGGATATTACAAAGGAGGAAAGTGACGAACCAATCTTAGTCACTAAGATAAACAAGAAAGTTCTGAACAAAATATCAGCAAACTGAATACTGCTTTTACTTAGCATTCTGTAGACTCCAATAAAAAAATATGAATTGTGAAATACAAAAAAACCCAGCAAACTGAATTCAGCAATGTATAAAATAACATGACCATGACAAAACTCATTTTATCTCAGGAATGCAACATTGATTTAATGTTAGAAAAATCAATAAATATAGTTTCACCACTTTAACAGAGTAAGGGGAAAAGTATGATATTCTCAATAGAGCTAGAAAAGGCATTTAACAAAA